ATAATCCAAACCATGTGAGTGCAACATTCCTTTAGATGTTTTGCCTGATGTCAAAACTATGAGAACTTAGCATTTTTGTATATTAAATGGTATCTCTGAGTCGTTTTGGTGCACCCTTTCATTATAAATATTAGGAAACATGTAGAACAATATTGGAATTGGTATCAAACATGAAAAATAAATTACTGCATAAAAGACACTTGCATGTGTCAAAACATCCTTTTTTTAGGCCGACACATACTGAAGTTTTATCTCCATGCGCCGGAACATACGATTTTCAGATCGGCATATGTACTGCAATATTAAAGCTTGTAGGCTTTATGTTGCATGTGTTGGTACATACCCTTTTTGAGGTCGGCACATGATGCAAATTTTGTACTTATGTGTCGGCACATTGCCTTTTCATACTGGTACATACTGATTGTTTAGGTCAATTTTTTAAAATTGTTTTACTCCAAAGTTTCCCTCTTTACCACCACATTTTCTCAACTAAAAATACATTATACATGCATAATTTTCAACTTGATGAAACTATAAACACTTACCATCATTTCTCTTCATCTTCAACCTCCAACATATGCATACACATTAACAAACTACACATAATCATTTTTTGTCGAGGTGCCATCTAGACGAGGTTTGATAACGTCCAATTAGGTTTGTGTAACCGAGAATATTGGGTTGAGAACTATGGGGAATTTCATTCAGAAAATCCTAGGGTTTATCCTTTAAGATCTTTAGTAGATTTGAGGGTTTTGTTCAAGACTTTGCAATAGTGGATTCGGACGAGTGAAAGCATTGAAGATTGGAGATCTTGCAAAGGAGTAGCGCGAGACAGTGGATCAGATTGAAAGCTCTTATGGTCAATAATTTGCAATTGGATTTGATTGAGTGAAAGCTTTGGAGATTGTGGATCTCACATAGGAGTAGTGTGAGAAGGTGAATCAATTGGATCTATTGTCTCTTGGTCTTTCTCAAGATCAAAAGAAGAGGAGAGGTTGAATCAACATCAAACGGTTAGGGTTTGTATGGCTGCTCTTGGAACATTTCTATTGTAATCAACTTTTTGCAAAGAAAGAAATTTATCTTAATTCTAAAACGGAATTATGGGGAGACGTAGCCATAGCAAGGACGATCGGTGAACCTCCTAAACAAATCCTTGTGTTTTTCTCTCTCTCTCTCTCATTTACTTTCTATATGCAATTTATTGAACTTGGTGTTTGATTGATTAATTTGTATAGAATTTTTATTTGATTGTTAAAGTTTGAATAGCTTTATTGATCAGCTTATAATCACTTTGATTGTAAGTGATGTTCTCAAATCAACAAAGCTCAAAAGAAATTCTAAAAAATTGATCGTGCGCCAAGTGTTTGATAAATTGTCAAGTTTTGCTTTTAACACAATTTAAATGGAAATATGTGGTTGTAGTGATTTGTTATAAATGATTAATTGTAAAATAATTATGTTGGTTACTTTTATCATTGATTAACTCCATACTTCTTTTGCATATCTGAGCTTCCAATAACCAGGTTTGTTTAGATGACTTTTTTTATTTAGGAAAAAAATATTTCAGTGTAATATTGTCTTTTAAAATAAATTTTAATTACATATTTTTGAAAGGTGATTTTTACTTGGGGGTATATTCAACCCCCCCCCCCCCCCCCCCCCCCCCTCTAGATAAATCGTTGTCGTCTAACACTAAGGTATCTCAAAAAATATCCAGGCTAATTATTGTTTTTCAACTTATCATCCACATTATGCCTCAAAGGATTCTCTGATTCTAATTGGGGGGAGGGGGGGGGGGCATGCCCCAATACCATAAGATCAACAACAAGAATTTTTTTCCTTGGGAAATCGCTTGTAAGCTGGAAGAGCAAGAAGCAGGTTGTAGTATCCAGATTAGCCTCAGAGGCAGAATATAGAGCATTAGCCCAAGAAACTTGTGAAGGACAATGTCTCATCTACCTACTCAAGGATTTTCAGATACGACATGATATGTCAATCATCATCTATTGTGACAATGCATATGCTCTACACATTGCTGCCAACCCAGTATTTCATGAAATGACCAAACATATCAAGCTAAATTGTCATGTTGTTAGAGATAAAGTGTTTACATGTGTTGTCCATATAATGCATGTGACTTCAAAGGAGAAAGTAGCTGACATTCTCACAAAATCATTACATCCAGGATCGTTCTATAACCTGCATACCAAGCTAGGAATGATTGACATCTATTATAACTTGAGGGATGATTGTTGAATGTAAAGAGGGAGAATAGTAGTTAGGTTTTATAACTAACTCTAATTGATTTTTTTTTTTACAGTTAGAATTCAGTTATTCCAAGCTATACTTAATTTACTTGTTATATAAGAAACAACTCTCTCTTTATAACAGTTAACTTTGTGAGTAATACAATCTTTCATTTCCATCTTGTCTCTTCTTCTTCCATGGATAATTCATGATCAGATTAAGTCTTAACAAATATGGTGAAGTAGGTGTATTCATTGACTATAGACTTTCCTATTGATGTTGATTGAATATTTTCCGGATGGACGACAAGATTTTGGGAACCCTATCCTACTACACCAATTTGAACAGGTTAGAACTTGCATATTGGGATTTGGGACTGTCCTCTAATTAGTTGATGACTTTCTGCGACACTAATAAGAGAATATTTATAAACATATTTTAAATGTTTCAAAATCCTTCTCCAAAATATTTTGAATTCTTCCACTATAGTATGTATAAAATACTCTCTAAACCCTCCATCCAAAGTATTGATATATCGAGTGTGAGTATGAGCCCTACATTATATGGAAAAATGGATGTTAAACACTTTATAAGTGAGAAGGCCCATAAATCCAATGTCTTAAGGTTTTTGATTAATATGTGATGTCCAACTCATTTAAAGTGGATGTTGAAAACTCAATGTGATGATCCGGCAGACTCCCTCATGATCCCATAATGGTATCAGAGTCTAGTTTGACTATGACTCCTTGTATTGAAAGTCTTTCTGACAAGAGTTTAGGCGGTGTATTTTGTTGAGTGAATCCAACGATCGTACAAGTAAATATGGATTAAAAAAAACTTTCAATTGAGGGGGAGAATATTCGTAAGAATGGAAGGACTAACATTTGAGGAGAAGATTGTTGATATATCAAGTGTAAGTATGAATCTCACATTAAATGGAAAAATATATGTTAAACACTTTATAAATGAGAAGATTCATAAACTTAATGTCTTGATTTTGAATTAATATATATTGTCCAACTCATTTAAATTAATTTTTGAAAGCCCATGTAATAATTCTCGGATTCCTAGCGAGCCGACACAAAGTCATCTATGCATTCCACTTTCTTTCTTTTCTTTGTTGTCTTCCTTTCTTAAATATCCAAACAAGCTCCTAAGCTTTGCTTGCAAATTAAGTTTAGAAGAGAAATACTTTTCTCTTTTAAATTAAGAATGCCGTAAAATATTTTTAAACACATACGACAAGGATCGCCTCTTTCTTACTTTTCTTTTTTTAATTAAGAACACTATAAAAAAGATCTCTTGTTTCTTGCTTTTCCTTTTAAAATAAACATTATAAAATATTTTGACAAGAATATATCAATTTATTCTTTCTTAACTAAAAGTTTTAAATTTAAATTTGATACTGGAAGTTTTGCCGTCCAACAATCCTCGTGATAAATTTAAAAAAAACAGATATGCAAAAAAAAAAAACAGCATATAAAGAAAACATAAACCAAGTGTAATTGAATTATAATATAAGTATTTATTTGTTCTTTTAATTTTTGAAATATCAAATATATATTTAATCTTCTAAAACACTTAAAAACTCAACTTTGAAACTTATATCCTTCAATACAACTCAAACAAAACCTTAGAGTTTGTTTACAATTTAATTTTTTAACGGATTTTGAAGATTTCGAAGATGATTTGCGAAGGACTAATCTATATTTTCATATATTTTTTATATTTTGAAGAGAGAAAAGTTGAGACAACAAGTAATCATACAAATATTTCAATCACTCTTAATCCTATTTATAAAAACATTTTATAATACCCTTAATATAAAAAAGTAAACTCTATTATCCCTTCTTACAAAACCTAACTCAGCAAATAAAAGCAAAGAAGGAGAAATCTAAGACACATGATTCATAGACACCATTTTGTTCACAATTAAGAGGATTTATCCTGCCACCCATACTTATATCAGATACTCTTCTAAAATATATAAAAAAGACTAAAATAGTCTAATCTAATTTTTTCACCATTTCACAAAATTTTTAAAAAATTAATAAATATTTTAAATTTCAGAGGCGATATTGGAAATTTGGAAGAGTTACCAAAATTATAAAAAAAAAAATGAAAATTTCCGATATTTTTATGAAATTTCTGATAAAAATTCATGGAAATTTCAGTATTTTCGATAATTCTTATTCTAAATTTCAAATTTTCTAATAATTTTGTATCGAAAATTACGAAATTTATGATAGTTCAAATTTTTTTGAAAAATCTCGAAAATTTCAAAATTTATTGTAGTTCAAATTTTAACTAAATTTTAACCAAAGGCATTTCTGAAAAATTGAAAAAAGGTGTCAAGTATAATTTGAATGGTGGCAAGTAAAATTCTCGGCAATTAACCCCGAGAATGAAAAGAAAAACAAATGTTTTAAAAACCCATACAAGAAAGGAATCTGTTCATATTAAATATTGAAAAGAAAAAAAGCTCTTATGTCATAATCACTTCCCTGTAGTGCAAAACTGATTATGCCTGCACATTATACTCTCTACCAGTAGGCAAATAAAAAGCATATCATGCCGTTAATCAGGTCCCATAAATAAGCCAAACTAAATCTTATATAGATGAAGCATGGTTTAAATCATGTTCTTGTATAAATTAAACAACCTTCCAAGGTAACATTCAACAAAAAGCAATAAAAAACAAAATTGATTGCGCAGAAAAGCCAGCCAACTAAAGTTTTGGACATCCACTACTTCCGCTTTGAAGAGTAGTGATTGTCATTTGGATTTCTCTTTCCACTGTAAACTGCTAGTGCTTTCCTTACGGGAGGCAGGAACGGAGATCCCTTAGAATTGTGGTGGCTGAAGACATCGTCTGGCCCAAAGAACTCATCATCCTACAGAGGGTATTAAGTATCTCAGTTAGTCGAAACTATTTAAAATGATTGAGACAAAAAGAAAGAACACCATGCTCTCGTTGGAAACAAGTTGTTAGCTATTAGCTATACTAAAACACACAAACTACCTTGTTGGCTTTCTTCTTTGTTTTAGGATGAAGTACTCGTTGAGGCAGTTGATCTTCACGGAGAATAACGTTTTTTGTGACTGCATTCCTTCCGCCTTGGGGTAAAGGCAATGAGAACTGCACGTTAAGTCATCGAAAATGCATAAACAGCTTAGCGACAGAAAGATACAAATGATATATATCATCCTATCTTGTAAATGTTTAAACAATTCTTCAGATACATGATCATTCGTGTAACTGAAAACCAACCATCTACCAAACAGAACTTCTGGGATAAATGCTCATCAAGTCTTGTAACTCTCCAGGAAGGGTGTGGAATACATTATAATCTCAGTTCCAAATCCATTAGTATTTATTAATCGTTGTTAGTAACCCATGAATCAACCAAGTACTCAACAGTTACAAAGATGACTAAGTGACTGAAAGAACAGAACGTGTCTTTAGTAATAAAATGACTAGCATTCTAACATGCATGAGTAAAATTGAATTGATATCTACCGGTATTTCATTATTTACACTCACCTTTGTGCCACGTAATGTAACTCGGGGTCGACGGGCTGCCAACATTATGCCATTTTCATTAACAGTGACAGCTACCTTCCTTAAGGTGCCACCATTTCCACATTTTGGACAGAAAATCCTCCCAATTTCAGCAGTAACAGTGAAGCAGGCATGACACTTAAGTATCCATCTGGATGCAAACAAATTAAAAGATGAGCACATATAATACAATAGCATGCTGTGTTTCATAGGATAGCATCATAGAGATTAAAAGAAATAAGCAATTAAGCATACCTCGTGGGAAAATTATAATATTGCACAATGTTTAAAAGAAGATACAAGGTTCAATTCCTTCACACATTCAAAAATAGAAAAGACAGATAATCTATATTAACATAGTGAATCTTTAAGAAGCTACTAACAAGTAACAATTACCTGTGCAGCTGGTGTATCTGTGATCCTCCAGGTGCCAGCAAGCGCAAACCCATTTGGAGAAGAACATTTTGCATTGCAAAGTCACCAGTTATGCAGGCCACAGATGATTCAGACAAAGATCTAAGCATCCAACTTTGCTCACTGACATCATCATCTGCATATGAAACATCAGCAGCTTCACTTGTCTGGCTTGCAATCTCAGAGTGAAATGCACTGACATCTGATGCACTTTCCATATCATTGTGTGACTGCGGCTCTTCAGGAGACAAACTTGGTTTGTGTTCTTCATTAACTTCAAGTGAACTTTTTTCCAATGTCATTTGCTTCAGAGTTGCAGAGAGAGCTTCACCGTCATTGTTCTCTGCTGCTATCTTATCATCCTTGGAAACAACATTTTCAATATGGTTCTCATCATGGCCTTGGTGAACATCCCGGTTTGAAGCCTTGTCATCTTCACAAACACTTCCATCGATGTTTTCTTCCATATCTTGTTGATCTTGATTACTGGATAATGCATCATAGTACTCCCGTCTAGCTTTTCTTCTTAGAAATCTCCTGTGAGTACTACGACTAACAGCAGGCATCCAATCACCTTCATTGTCATCAACTTGTCCTTGAGATGCATCAACACCATCAGCCACTGTCTTCCCTTCAATGTTTATGACATTTTTCTTCGGCAGATAATTCTTACGCCTCATTGAACCACCATGTTCACTACCGTCTAGAATTTCCAAAGTAGTTTCACTCGTATGCTCTACTGAACCATCTACAGAGAGATCATCTTGAGGAACAATGGTCAAACTCAAGTCCTGCAGAGGAAGGATTCTCGAATTTGAATTTGCATTATCCTCTTCGCGATCCAATGCTTCCCATTCTTCCAAATTGGAAACATTCGAACCCCATCCCGGCAAGTCCTTCTCAGGCAATCTCTTAACATTTAAGGTTTGCACCGGAGGCGGGCTGTCTCTGAGATGTTTTGTTCCGTGAATTTGAGCCTCCAAAGTATAAGTTAGAGCCATGAGTTTAATATCAACATCTGAAAGAGTCTGTAGATCACCAGTAACCCTAGCAAATTTGACAACTACAACCATATCCAATTGGTAAAAAGATTTCCAAGTTAGATTTAAAAAAAAAAACACCTTCATATTACATACAAACATAAACCTAAGACACTATACTTGGGCCTCGTTCGGATAAATAACTTAAATTAATTGCTTAAAGCATAAGATATTTCTATAACAGAGGACAAAATAAAGTCAAACTTTTTTCATGTTAACTTAAGTTGTTTTCTTAAGTTACCCTAGAGAGTTTGTGAAGATAAGCTGAAAACGGATGGCCATGCATCAACTTATGGACATGTACAACAACCAAATCGTTAATCTCGAGATCTTTCTTAATAATTTCTCTTATAGTTTTTCAAGGTCTTCCTCTAGTTGTTTGATTATCTCCATCTAGTCTACTCTCCTTACCACAAAATCTATATGTTTTCTCTCCTAATGCCCAAACCACCTAAGTCTTTATGGACATGTTATAAGTTATTTTCACAAGCTCTTCTAAACAATACAATGTAACTAGTATTTATGTCCAGGGTTTTAAAAAGGGTCCGCGACCGCAAAAATGAGCAACAAAATGGGATTGGCATATCACGGTTTTCTATATAAAAGAAAGATTGTGGTTAATTCACAGCGCAATGACCACAACGCCACATGTATCAAAAGCCTTTTTTAAAACCCAGTTTATGTCATTAGATAAACTCAAATAAGTTTCTCCAAACACACCATAAGAACTAATTCTACAAAATCTTCATAATCATAAAAATAATAACAATGTGAAGTAACTAGTAAAACCTAAAAATGAAATACAAACACCTTTGTTAATTGATTCAGGGGTAGGTTCCATGGTTTGGATAGTAAACGGAAGAAAAGAAAGCTTGTGCCGAGAAACAGGATCACGGATTTCCTCCAAAACCTCCGGGACAGACACAAACTTATCAGAAATAGCAAGAAGATTGTCCCCTCCTGCAATAACAGCATTAGCGTCAACAATGGCAACAGAAATCCCATGACTGTTACGTGCATCTTCCAAAACTTGTTGAGTATCTAAAAGTGGCGGCGGTTGTTGAGGAGGTGGCGCCTCCTTCTTCACTATGCTACTCCAGCATGATGGTTTTGGTGGTGGCGGTGCTATTGATGAAGCTTCCTCCATGATTCACCTGCAACGCATCATCGAGAAGATATATGATAATCGTTTATACAAAGAAAAAGACGTAAAAATTGATTCTGATGAATGAACGTTACCTGCTTGTGATGTGAATCCAGACGATTTGATCGGAGGTGCGAAAAGCTCTGCCGCCGTTTTAGTTTGGTTTAGGGTTCTAGGTGGGTTTGGGAAGACAGTGGTGTTTCCTTAGATTGTGTTTTGTTATGTCATTCGTGGATTTTTATAATTGTTTTATCTATAATTAATCTATAATCTATAATCTATATCTAAGTATAGACAATATAAATTTAGACTGAAAACTCGTGTTAATTTCTTAAAAGACCCGTGGAATAGAATTTTTTTTAGTAATAATTAAGTCTTGAAAAAAAATATATAAATAATTATGTTTTTGGGAAAATTATGTAAATAATCATGTTTTAGAAAATACTACAATGGAGACGCTAAGTAAGATGACGCATGTATTTTAATTTTAGAATGAGGCGCCAAGTGAGATGGTGCCTAGGGGCAACATGTTTGTCCTAAACCATCTGAGATGGCGCCTAAGTGTATTTAAGAGTCAATTTTTTTTCTTTCTATTTTAAATACGAGACAATAAGTAAACGATATAGCTTCATGAAACTTCAATTTTTCATTAACAAATGAACGATTACATAATGAAAAAAACAATGCATATTATTTAGTTGTCCCTCAGAACTCGGTAACGACTCGTGGTTTTACATCTACATCCTCTCCTATCTCGTGGTGGGTATCGTCGATTTTCCTATTGCAGTTGGGTCGATGGTCCATCGAAGTCAATGCGTTTAGGATCCATGAAATCGGTCAGATCACCATATCTGAAAGATTCGCTTTGATACAGTCGGTTATCCATGTCCTCAAAGTTTGGTCGTCTTGGTGGGGGTGGAGTTTCATGGATGGTCTATAGCACTGATCATCTGAGTAAGAGGGTAAAAAGGAAATGAATCATGGGGTGTTTGGTATTGCGATTGTTGGGTGCTATGGTGATGTGGTGGTTGATGGTAAGTTGGGTCGGTTGGGTCATATGCTTCAGGAAATCTTATATATGGGCTAAGGTGAGATGATGAGGGACCCACATCGGGGTGTGGAGAAGACTGGAATTGTGTGTGGGGCATGTGGGTGTATTAGTATTGCGATTGGAATTGAGGTTAGGTGTGGGGCATATAGGTGTATTGGTATTGAGGTGGTGATTGTGGTTGGGTGTGGGGCATATGAGTGTATTGGTATTGAGGTGGTGATTGTGGTTAGGTGTTTGTGGATTTGTATCGTTGTGGTGTTTGGTGGAAAGTTGATGTGTGTTGGGTTTGTTGTTGAGGATTTGAGGTTTGTGCCTATTATGTTCGTGGGTCGACCAAATACCTCAGATGAGACACGTGTATTTCTGGGTTACTAACCGATCTATACCAATCAAAATGTTGATCCGTGTGTCGCATATTATTCTGGTTGAGGAAAACAGGGAATTGCAAGACATATTGGTGACGCATATGCCACATCTTACACCATTCTGGAGCAAAATCTTTCCAATTAGTAAGACCCCATTGGGCGTCGACCCTTTTGAGATGCCAGGGTGACAAACAAGTTGGATCACATGGTATCTCTTGATGCATTCTGAATTGCATCTTGACATAATCGTTGTGGTGCGTCTCCATAATATTGAATCGTATGATTACAGTCTTTGCAGTTCAAACTTCTGCATCCTCGGGGTTTGGTTCATGGTCCAAACCCAAATATAGTCTCCAAATAAACTGTGGATAAAATTAAATCAGAATAATGAAAACGTAAAAAATAAATAATTTAAAAGTAGAAAAGTTCAAAGGTACCACATACATCATTCGGGCCAAGGTGATCCAATAGATTACGATATAGAGCGACATTGAATCTTGGATTCTTGTCGTAATCCATACATGTTACGTAGTACCTAAAAGAATTGAAAAATAGTTAATTTTATACATTTATTTGGCGAAAGGATGGATAATAAATCATTTAAGTTCTTGACTTACTTTGTTGCGTATGGGTAAATGATTGCATTGTTGTTGACGGTGTTTAAGGACTTCATTCTCCATCAACCCCAGGCTTGGAGTAAGAAAGCGCATCCATAAAAAGTGCATTTATCCTTTGTTGCATTTTTACATAAAGAACTGTATGGATGGGCTAAAACAGCAGAACCCCAACTATACTTTCTTATTTTTTTCAAAGTTTCTAAGCAAACTTAAATACATAAAATTTACACTATTCCTTGTGCTTTCGGGAAATAACAAGCTTCCAAATAATATCATCATATAATTTCTAGCTTTTATTATTCTTGCTTGCTCTGATGAGTTTTCATTCAACTCAAGAGTCGCATAATGTTTTTTGATTTCAGTTAGTAATATACTTTGGCCTCTAGCACCACTGTCTTCTACCATATTTTTTCCCAACAATTCCTTGCATAGAGAATTGGGTTTTTGAACCGACCCATTAACTACCTTACCATCGATATGGAGACCCAATAACATGTACACGTCCTCTAGTGTGACAGTACATTCACCTATTGGTAGGTGAAATGTGTGTGTCTCGGGTCTCCACCTTTCCAACATTGCAAGTATAAACTTGGAATCAATCGTGCAGTTTGAGATTTTTATAACATTTCTAAAATCCGCATATTCGAGATAGGGCACGATTAACGGGTCGGGAGTAATGTAGTTGTGTAAGTGAATTCTAAATCTTTTAGCATCGTAATTCAAAATGCAAATAGTGTAAGAGTCCATAAGATGACTAATTGAATAATAATTTTATAAAAAATATGTTAATATACAAGAATATTTAAGAATTTATAGAAACTTACAAATGCCGCAATGTTGTCTCTTGTGCCTTTGTGAGAATCGCCCATTGTGAGAAGAGTCATATTTGAACTTGTATAAGACAATGAAAGGGTTTGTACTAGAGAGTGAGATGGTTGGTGATGCAAAACAAGTTTCTCATGTGTCATATTTATAGGTGAAATCGTATAAGAGTGAATTAATGAGGTGGTTAGTGGTTGCATGCATGCATGATACGTGTCATGCTGGTGCCAAGTCAAATGGCGCCTACATGCATTTTAGAGAGCATGCATCATTCAACTTGGCGTGGGACAGGCCTACATGTATAGTAGGTGGCAGCATAGGTGGCAGTATAGGGGCAGACTTTTCCGCATGCATGTAAGGTGATAGGACATGTAGGGATGCGCCATTTGACTTGGCGCATGAGTGCAAAATTGAAAGGTGTTGCCATCTGTTGTACCCCAAAATTTGCCCTCCCATATTCTCCAAGAAATTGCCAAGTCAGGTCACAAAATTCCCCAAGGGTTATGCAGTTCAACTGTCTCCTATACAGTCAAAACTAGGGTTTGTGTTCTGATCAAAGAAAGGAAGTTTTCAAGGACCCAATCAAGTCTCATATGCTTACAAAGATGGTCAAGTATCCTCATATCAAGTTTCAAGGCATTCAGCTCAAAATTGCACAGTCAAAACCCTAGATTGCACTACAGTCAACTGTAGGGGCAAAATGGTCATTTGACAGTCAAAAGTTCAAATTTTTGGTCAACATATCATTTTGAAGCCACAAACATCATTTGATCAATGCTTGATCATGATTCTCACAATTTGGCTCAGAAATCATCAAAGATGCAAAAGTTACTATATTTGGACAGCTGAAAAAGTCAACTGAAATTGACCAGGGTATAACTTTCACATGGATTATCAGAAAAATTCCATCCAAAGCTCATTTTGAAGAGAAAGACATTTCCTACAATTCATCTTCATATTCCAAGTCCAATAAATGCTCTCACAAAAAGTTATCAATTTCAACATTATAGGTCATTTTCAAAAGTCAACAAAAAGGGACTTTAAGTCAAAGGCCATAACTTGAGATTGGTAAATCAAAATGACATGGGACCAAAGGCATTGGTTAGAGGACTCAAAGACCTTTCCAAAATGTCCAAGAACATGTGAAAATCTTAAAAATTGAGCAAGTTATGCCTTGTGGAAGTTGGGAAATTTTTGGGAATTTTGAAAAGTCAACTTTGATTCAAATGACCTAAATTTGCTAATGGGCCCATTTTTCTTCCATGATTCATCATTCCAAGCATATTCACGACCACTTGGCCCAAAGGGAAGTATTTTCTCAATTTTTATTTATTTATTTGAATTTATATTAATATTAATTCATTTAAATTATTTAAATATGTGAAAAATATCTACTTTGACCTAAAAAAATCTTTTTATGCATGTTTTGCTTTCAAAATCTCGTGCACATCCCAAACATGGAAAGAATTGGACTAATTGATCATAATTGATACAAAATGCATGAAAAGATTCAAAAAAAGATCTTAAGGAAATCAAATATTGAAAACCATTATGGCCATGGATTTTATGCAATTTTGTTGACCTAATAGCTTCCATACATAATCAGAATCACAACCCTAAGCCTTAGAGACTGAAAGCTGCGCAGAAAAAGACTTGGCAAACTTGAAAATTTTCCATAAAACTCAAATACTGAATTCAACCTTAGAGGTCGATTCAAACCCTACAATTTATTCCATTGGCTTCCTTGAGTCTCCTTGATCATACTCCAATCAAAAACAACAACAAAAGCTCCAAGAATCGGTAATAAGGACCCCTCCTGTACAGAGAAAAAGTCACCATCGTGCTTTGCATTCTAGACATTTTCATAGCATTCTAATCATGTATTTGTATTCCTCATAATGTTCTAAAGCTAACCCATACTTTTAATTTGATTATTATGCGTTATAGGCAATTTCGCCATTGTTAAAATTTAGGGTTTGCAGAGCTTCTGAATAGGGGTTTTCAGACCAAGCAAAATCAGGCCACCTCAATACCATGGTTGGATTCAGTGCATCAAGACGAAGAGATCTTGACCCTCGCGATCGATTTATTGACATCATAGCGCTAGTCGCTATTTTCTTGAAGCTAGCCTAAGACCATGCGTTCAAA